AATTTCTTCCTTATATCTAATCTAAATCTCTCCTCTTTCAGTTTAAATCCATTACCCCTTGTCCTATCACTACACACCCTTGTAAAAAGTCCCTCTCCAGCTTTCTTGTCAGGTCTCTTGTCAGGTCAGGAAGCCTGCTAGAAGGTGTCCCCGGAGCCTTCTCTTCTTCAGACTGAACAACCCCAACTGTCTCAGCCTGTCTTCATAGCAGAGGTGCTCCAGCCCTCACACCATCTTTGTGGCCCTCCTCTGGACCCGTTCCAGCAGCTCCATGTCCTTCTTATGTTGGAGCCCCAGAGCTGAAGGCAGTACTGCAGGTGGGGTCTCAAGAGAGCAGAGTAGAGGGGCAGAATCACCTCCCTCGACCTGCTGGCCACGCTGCTTTGGATGCAGCCCAGGATACGGTTGGCTTTCTGGGCTGCCAACGCACATGGCTGACTCATGTTGAGCTTCTCATCAACCAACCCCCCCAAGTCCTTCTCCTCCATGCTGCTTTCAATCCATTCTCTCCCCAGCCTGTACTTGTGCTTGGAATTGTCCCGATCCACGTGCAGGACTTTGCACTTGGCCTTGTTACATTTTTACATTTTATAGTCATTTTACAGGGTGATTCCTGTGGCTGCCAGAGCTGAGAGAACAGAGGCCTGAAGTTTGAGCCTCTCTCTAAGGGAAGGACATTTCTCCACTGACTTCCCTGGGAGCAGGCTATGCCCTGGGCTGCTGGGCTATCACCTGACCCACGCTGGGAAGCGGCTCATTGTCATGGAGAACTGCCCATCCCAGGCATGGCCTTGGCATTTAGAGGGGAGTGGGGACTCTCAGGGTGGGACCAGCAGGCTAATTGCCTTTGTCCTCCCCTCCTTCAATGGAGGAGTCCCAGTAAATCCCCAAAGCCCAGGACAATAGCCCTGCTGCTTTTAAGTGCCTTTCATTAAACTCAATCCTCTTGCCCTCCCTCTCCCAAGATTTGCTAAAAGAAGAGTCTCTTTTAATGACAAAAGGAAACCTAAAAGGCTGCTATTAGCTCATTCACTCGGCTCCTCGCTGCAGACTAGTTGTCTATTTGCTGAAATCTACTCTCCAGTGTCCCTTGGGCAGGTTGCTTTATCATGAGCACACCAGCCTTTGGGGTGATGTGTCCGCAGGAGGGGCCGCAGCCCCTGGTTCCAGCTAAGAGCTCACTTTCCCTGGAAGGGGCAGGATTTGGTGCTACTGACAGGAAGGGTACACTGGGGACAGTTGGACCTGCTAAAACCTCCCTAGAGCCCACCATCGTGCCTCAAGAGTGAGGCTGGAGCACTGCAGTGGGTCGAGCCGTCTGCTCTGCCAGGTTCTGGCTATGCCACCACCCAACCGATGTGGCATGAGAAGGTCTGTTGGGCCATGGGATATTTGCTGAGGACAGACCACATGGCAACACAAATTTGCCACTGATTTGGGATCCTGAGGAGCAAATGCTTATCGTTGCCGTCTGCAGAAACATACAACTGATGGAAGTGACAGAGAGTAAGTCCTGAAACAAATCTTCTGGGTGGAAGAACATGAGCTGGACACATACAAGTCTCCCATGCTGGCCTACTGCTTGCTGAGGGCTGACAACAAGCTGGTGGAGCAGAGGAGTGCAGTGGTCATGCAGATATGTGAGTTTGCAGTTCCTGGCTTACTTAAGGACTGGCTTTAAATCTTTTGAAGATGGTGGGAATCCCTCCGCTGCTTTTAGATCAATCTCAGCAGTTCAAAACTCAAATAAAGCTATTCCACACCTGATGCGACTGAACCTGAGCAGGACAAGACTGACCACCTTGGCTTTTTGCTACGGGCAGTCTGCCCTTTCCCTCTCTCTATCACCACCACTGCACCACTTGAGATGCAATTAAAAATCAAGACGTGGAGGAATTTCCCCCAAAGCTGGGAAGACGGTGTTTGTGCTGGGAAGGGGTGAGCGAGAGGGGGATGAGGAAGGAGTTGCCACCCACCCACCAGTCTCAGCTATTGCACAAATGGCGGTTGGCCAGTGCTGGGGAAAGTACTTGGTCCCGATCCCAAGCACATGGAAGTCATCTGACGTTTCGTCATGGCTTCGTTACATTTTGGATCAGGCCAGCGGTTTGTCTTGCATCACCACCCTGTACGTTATGCAGGCAGCCAGTGAAGAGGCGCTGCCCCGCCAACGATTCTGCTTTCCGAATAGCCTGCAGGGATGGCCTTACATCACGGCAGATGCATATATGTTAAACAGCTGCAATTTCATACTTAACTTCATTATTGATGCTACATTCCTCACGAAGACATTTATATCTACCCTCTACGGCCCAGCACACAGCACCCAATCACACAGCACCCAACCACCAGCTTATGCGAACGGCAAGAACTGGGAGTCGATGGTTTTGCACAATGGTGCTCTGGGATGGATTCGCCTTTCCCAGCAGCACGAAGCGAATCGGGAAGGATTCTTAGGAGGGCCTGTTTATACTGCAGACACTCCGCTAGCAGACGGGTCCGGTTTCTCCAGTGCCCTGCCATTTCAAGCAGGTGCGATCCTAGTTGAAAAACTGATTTGTAAAACAGATGGAGCCAACAGTCAAGCTCAGCTTTCGTACCTCCTGCTAGCCAGCACTGCACTGGAACCAGCCCCGCTTCTTTTATTTTTGCCAGCTTTTATTTTTTTTTTTACTGAACCAGGCTGAAAAAGGACAGTTGTAATTCAGACTGTTTATCAAAACAAACAAACAAAAAAGCCCAGAGTGCCCAGTAAGACTGTGAGAAGCTTTGAATCAGCTCATATGCGTCTCTTTGGGCCCAGAGAAGTTTTTTTTCCTGTCTTATAGATGAAATTGTTCATAAATCTTTGCACTTTTACCCCAAACCACGTGAAAGCAAAACCTGTCTCCTACAGTTTTAAAGTACCTCGAACATACTGAGCAACAACCAGACAAAAATATCTAATAATTGTTAACATTTTATTCTCGACCGCTGGTCAGCCTGAAAAGTTTCATTAATACACTAACGAACAAAAACGGAACCGACAAAAAATTCGAAACAAATAAAACAACAAAAAAAGAAGGGGAAACGAAGTAAAATAAACTTTAACGCAGTTTAAAACACATTATAAATAAGTACAGCTCCAGAGCATAATTTACAAATATAAAACCACATAGAAACATATGTACAGAAGAGTTACATTACGTACAAATATGTATAAAAATACCCCAGTGTTTATTCTTGCGCTAAAGCTGCATGGCTATCGAATTATCTTTGGTACTAAGCTCAGGGGAAAAGACTGTTTTACAAAACACGGCCCCGGCTGTACAATATGCCATACACAGGAAGACCAGAGCGAACCTCCACGGGCAGCCAGGAGGTTTTGGGTGGGTGTCTACCCAGAGCATCCCCCCTTCGTGCATCGCATATCGCAGGCTCAGGGCAGAAAGCAAAGGCTTACAGAGGCAACTGCTGGCAGAAGAGTTTTTTAATACATTGTACAAGGCACTTCATAAGAAATCTCTTCATTTTTTTTTTCCTGCTCTCTTCTAAGACTCACTGGATGTCTACACTTGGCTCTTTGCTGATATCACTTTGTGGTTACAGTTTTTAAACTTGTTATTCTACATTCAAGATTAGAAACCTCTGAAAACATGAATTCAGTTTGCTTTCGTCTGCAGAATTTAGATGGCAAGTCATCTAAACCACCTAACGTTTTCCAGGACGGGGAAAAGACTTTGCATCTGCCTTCTGCTGGTGTTTATGGGGTGTTCTTCTTGCGAAAAGATCTGTCTTCCTGGAAGAACTCCTGGGAAGTGTCCACATTGAAATGCTGTTTGCAAAAGCGTATGGTCCTCCGTGCCACCAAATACAACTGCAACTCCGATTCCCTTTGCAGCGCTCGCCGGCTGACTGCCCCAGCATCCTACACCTCCGTTCCATCCCGGGTGTAGATGAGGCTGTTAACTGTGAAGTTGTAGTAGTGGTTGTACTGGGCTCCCTGGCTGCTGCTGCTGGGGTGGAAGGAGCTGTAGTAGGCGGGGGAAGGTCCCGCAACCCGCTGCAGCTGGTCTGCTGAAGGCACCTCCTGAGAAGAGCTGCTGGATGGGGTGAAAGTGCCACTGCTCAGCTGTCCAGCAGAGAAGTTCCTGTGATGCAGGTCACTGCCGAGACCCCCTGTCAACCGGCTGCCTCCGCTGCTCAGGGAGCTCATGCCGCTGAAGAAGGTGCTGAGGCAGCTAGGGGTGGATGAAATGATACCGGAGGGAGAGGAACTTTTCGGATGGTCTCTGGCAGAAGGTGAGGGGTCCAGCTCTGGGGGTGGGCTGTTTCCACACGGTTTGCCTGGGGCTGGGATGGGTCGCTCCTCCTCGGCCTTCAGGCCCCCCAGAGAGGAAGCCGCAGACGCGGTCGCGGGGGCGTTGGGCTCAGAGCGCCGCTTGCGTTTGCGACGGAAGTTCCCGTTGTCAAACATCTTCTCACAGTTGGGATCTAAGGTCCAGTAGTTTCCCTTCCCTGGTGGAAAACGGGAGAAACGAGAGAAAAGTCAGCTTCTG